AGTTAAGTCATAATTCAAACCAGATCCAATCAATATTTTACAAATTTGTTTGAAAATTTTTAACAAAAATAATTCCACAAAATATCCTAACTATACCATATAAGTTATTTCGTCTAAAATTAATAAAGAAGCGCCTCCAAAAAAACCTGTATAATCAAAAAATAAACGTTTAGCGATGCGATAAAAAAACAACACCTCTAAAATTACGACGATAGAATTTAGTACCTGTTAAGTTAACCCTATTGCCCTTTCGTTCTGTCACCATATTAATGTTAATTAACTCCTGGCATCTAATTAGCTTTTGAAAAAAAAATATTTTTTGTTTGTAATTGAACACCAAAGTCGCAAAATACCTTTTGTGGATTGTCCAAAACGACCAGCACGACCGACCATTTGACGGTAAGTTATTTTGGTCAAAGCTGTCGGTCCATGCAATTGTGTTTTGATCACCACACAATCAGCAGGTAAATTGACACCGGAACTCAATGTGGATGTTGCACAAAGAATTTTTAAAATACCTGCTTTGAAGAATTCTTCAACCAACTCTCGTTCCTCCATAGTTAAACCTATAATGTTTTGTCTACACTAAGAAAAAATAAGTACTAAAGAGTAAAAATTAAGAAGAAAAAAAATTAAAAAGAATAATTTTATAAATGCTTAATTAACTATTTTAAAAACTCACTAATAAAAACAACTTAAACAAAAAAATTTTCAAATTCTGACAAGTTGTAAAATAATTATTATTTGAAGAAATTTAACATAATAATGCAAACAAAAATTCCCATTAATTATGCCATTTTTGTTAAAAGCTAATTTAACAATAGACCAGAAACTTGAGACTAAGTGCGCGTCAGATAAAATTAGCTATTTTCCATGAGCATTTTCGGGAGCTTATTGCTTTACATTTGAAACCTTCGGCAAAACAGCACTTATTTGCCCTCACTGAACTTATTACTATCTGAACGCTCGTTTCAGTCCCTTGTTAGCTTCAGAGTACAAATATACATTTCTATCCTCTCTTTGTACCACTTCAAAATTTTTTGTACTTGTTAATTCACATATTCTTGTTCACAGAAACAAGTAAAAAATGTCCAGTTAGAAATTCTGCTGTGAAATACAGAATCTTCATCTTAAATGTTCTCGAAAGCTCGACTATATATCTGTCTCAATTGAAAGCTGGAGAAAAACTGCTAGTTTAAGCTTGTCAAACCAACCGTGAACTAATGCGAGTATAACATTTACAAGTGCTCAATAAAAAAGTTTTAAAGCTGTTTTTTTTCGATTTTAACTTTATCCAAATTTGAAGAAAAAAACCACTTCTTTCGAAGCTAAAGATCTGAAAAAATTTTATTTTAAAGAACCAATTGAAAATTTCACAAACATCGAAAGAATACCTTTAAAAAAACTTCCGCATAAATCAAATCATCAATAAACCTGATTATGGTTAAATTAAATTATGTTTTTTTCTGAAAAAAATACATATTATTAAATTTATGATAAAAAAAGATTTGTAACATAAAATAAGGCAATTTTTAGCTCACGGAAAAAGTTGTAATATATTCAAAAAAAGTTTAAATGCATTTAGTGTAACAATCGCGCCACTTAGTCGCGAAAAAATATACAGAACAAATTTTTATGCACCCAAAATTTGCAACATTCTTCAAACACATGTATGACCGTTCAACTGACTATGAATGGGACCTTAATCAAGGACAGTTTCCTTATTAAACGTTAAAAAGCAGACTCAATTACTGCACCTACCCACCAACTACCTTGGTTAACGCTCACAATAAAACACTTTCATTCCTTTCTAATTCGATAAAACCATAAAATAAACCAATTCTATAAGATGTTTCAGAAAGATTATTTGACTAATAAAACGCCAAAGTAACAAGAACAACTGAAGTTGAAGAAAAACTATTATTTCAAAGTGCTTAGAAGTTTGTACTGTTGAATAAACATCAGAAGAAAAGAAAAAAAAGTAAGGAACTAAAAATGATTGAAAAACTCTTTAATTAACAAATTACAAAAAATTACTCATCTTCAGTAACTTTAAAAAAATGACACCTGAAAATGAGCACATAAACTCACCTGCATGATGGAAGCCCACACCAACACCAAGACTCTTCAGAAGAGTTTCATCAGTGGATTTAGTCTCTTTCTTAAAGTATTCTACTGACTGTACCAAAAGTGAATAATTTGCCACTAATTTTTGAGCACTTTCATCTGTTAGACTGCCCAACAAACGATCCGAAATGATACTGGCAATTCGTTCTGTTTCCATTTTGGAAGTACAGAAAATGAGCATTGACTTATGAAGATGTAAGTTTTCCACACATAATCTAAATTAAATTTGCAAGCAGCTAAAAATCAGAAATTTAACACGGTGTGTGCATTACTTATCAGTAATTTTCAGACCAAAGTTACCACTGCTTTAGGACAAACAAAATGCTTCTTTTAAGCGTTCTCAAAAAAACTTGAGTTGAAAAAAGATCTTAGACTAAGTTAACCATAATACATAAAATAACATCTGACATATAAATGAGAAAATGCAGTTTCATAAATGAGATACTAAGCCTGGTACAGAAAAAAAATAAAAAGCTATACATAGGTCATCAAAAATTTCTGAAAAAACTAACAATTACTTACTGAAACATGGTTTCAGTCTCATTGTCACTTTCTTCACCAAAACGCTTAAGAAGCTGGTTGGTACCCGCATCGATTAGTTCATTCCCCGCAAGAATCTTTTCTTCCAAAACAACTGGTCGAAACTGTGTCGAATAGCACTTTGCATCTAACCAATTTGCTAACTCTACCAGACTCGGAATTGTTGCACTCATTCCGATAATTTGTATTTGATGTATATTGCTTTAAAAAACATCAATAACATTACTTCTTTTAACAAAGCACAATAAAATCAGCTAAGCATAGAATTCCAATTTTTAAAATTTCTATTGTCAAAATTAAATACAACTTATAAACATTTGAGCAAAGACTCGCCACTTTTTTATTTTTCATTACTTCTCCGTAATAAAAAATAAAGCCAAAATAAGTTCAAAAAATCTAGAAGAAAGTAACCTTTTTTTCAAAAATAAAAGTTTGGAAACAATCTGTTCAATTAGTTGTCCACGGTTGGTATCAAAAATCATGTGAAATTCGTCAATGACAAATACTCCTTAAAAAAAAAAAAAACAAAAACCACATATCAGCAATAAATTTTAACATAAGGTCTTTATAAAAACAATTATACAATAAACTTTCAACTTCCTCTCTTTAAAAATTTAAGCAGAAAATTATGATGTCACTTAAGAACCATAACAATCTTTTTTCTGTTTGAATGCATTTCTTCCGAACTTGGAAATCTTCTTCCCCCGAAAAGAAAATGTAAACGATGTGGTTAAAAACTGCAAACTCATGATCACAAAAATTTCACCAACGCTCTTTTTTTGAATCTGTTCCTAACAATTAAATTTACCGATGTTAGATATAAAATCTTCGTCAATCGCCTTATTTAGCAGCGAATTAGCTTTTTCAATGGTACAAACAGCAGCATCCCAAACGTCCAAAGGTGCAGAATTTGAGCCTATATATGCTTTCACACGAAGGTCTATTTTACGGAACAATTTCTGGAAAAAGTATTAAAGTCAAAGATCTATTCTAAAAAACCTTTGTTGATTTTAAATGAACTGTTCACGAATGAAATTAAAACTGTAAGACAACGACTCTAAAAACCCTAAAGCTGAAAGAAACTAAATCCTAACTAAAAAAGCTTTGCTAAAAAACAGATTTCCAATGAAAGAAACATCCAGTTACAAGATTGGTTTCAATGTTGGACAAATTTAAAAGCAATTTTCACGAAAATCATCAAAAAATTAGATATTCGTAAAATAACTTAATTTTAAAAGTTGAAAAAAATTTTTTATTAATGTTTAAAAAGTTATCTCAGTCGACTACAAGTGAATAAAATTATAACAACCTCAACTCGCCTGGCTTTACCGCATAATAAATAAGGTTAACCTATTATTTCATTTGCAAGTGAAATAAAAGTTAGTTCAAAATAATGTCCAATAATACCTGAAGTGTTAGAAATTTCTCACGTGCCACCGATATATAAGGGAAAACAAAAATCGCCTTCTGATTAGTACAAATAACATTATTAACAGCAAGCAGCTCAGCTACAAGCGTTTTGCCGGAGCTTGTAGGCGCCGAGTACAGTAAATTTCGATAAAACGGACCTCTCAAACGAGAATCGCACAAAATTTCGGCTTGCCATTCAAAAAGCTTGGAAATATTCCTCGACTTGTAACTTTCAACTACTTCTTCTTCCACCCAAACAGGAAACATTGTCGTATAGGTTAATCCAAATTACACAGACAGATCAGACTACATATGTACAATGTTCAGCTACACCAAATAGGGTGTAACCAGTCCCTACCACCCTGAAGTAACCAGTCATTACCAAATGTACTTTACAACATGCACAAAACCCAACATCCTTTACAACAACAACCAGAATTGAAAGACAGCAAAACAACCCCTACACTAACTTAAAAATTAAGAACATAACAAGAACCATATTAACCACAAAAGTTACTGCCGAACAACCCACTACTACTCTCGCATCACATGTAGTGACAGAATCTCCAGCTATCCGCTGTTTCCACAACTAATCCGATGATGGTAAACATATTTTGCAAAAATAAAGTGACCAGATATCAATATGATTTATTTTTTAAATTCTTATTATAAGCATAAAACACACTTCTTAAACAAAGAGGTGCGGTAAAATATTCTAAACTAATTACTGCTCCTACAATCTCAACTCCAATGCAGCGAATACAAGATTATAGGTCTTAAAAAGTGATCTAAATGACAACATAAGTCAATTTTTTAAAAAAAGTAGTCTTGTACATATTAAAGCCATTACTTCGGCGCCAAGTACTGAGCAGTCAAAATAAACAGCCAGTTTGATGACTATGTATAGTAGTAAATAAAGTCACAGACGGTATTTTTCAGGGTATGAATATAAACAAATAGACACTATTTGGTCATAATAATCCATTCAGTAGGTAAATCGTTTTTCAAGGAAACAAGACATAAATCTAACTGTACATAAACAATCACAAATCCTAACAATCCGTATATTACAAAATTTCCTTCTAAATCAGAAACATATTAAGCTAAAAAGACTTGAAGCTAAAAGAACACTGTTATACAATGCGTTAAAAACCTTCAAACAATGACTTTGTTAAGCGTTGAAGATGGGAGGCTGAAGAACCGCTTTTTGAAAGCAATGTTGGTGGAACATGATCATCATCACTATGCTCAATAGTGAATGTTGCATTATGCTCATTAAGAACCTAAATAAAAGTAAACAATCTAAATGAAAAAAATAAAAACAGTCTCCCCATCACCAGCTATCCAAAAGGATATCAAATAATACTGTTATTGTTATTACCTGTTCTTTAGGTTCAGAATTCGGAACTGTGTCTGTTTTTGTTGGTGGTAGATGAACTGCTCTTTGAAGCAAAAATGACTCCCTTCTGTTTGTCGGTTCAGGATTACTAAAATACAGAGAGAACTTTTCTTTGCCGACCCTTAAAACCGAAACTACTAATGTTAACCATCATATACTTCGATAAAAACACAAACGAATTCGATGCTCAAAAGAGCAATGACTGTTACCGGTAAAGATGCAAACGTTTTTTACGTATACGCCTTTCTGGCGTCGGGTAATATGTAACATCCTTCACGTCATCAGAATCAAGATTCTCATCTTCTGACAGCTCTTCAGCAGGATAATCCTAAATTATTTTTTTACGAAGTCTGCACAACATTAAGTACTTTCCCAACAACGAAAAGTCTGATCAGTCCTGCTACAACTGAAATCATCTCTAGAGAGTTGAGGAAGTCCATACAACATTAGAGGAAGACGGTTTAATAAACGCATCAGTTGCATCTGATTCTTTTTTAGATTCATTCCTCGACTTTCTTGTGCTGCGTCGTGCACGACGAACCTGCAGTCAAATCCAAACATCGTATTTGAAAACGATTTGACTATTTTAGTTAATTCCTGCGACTATGACTTAATAGCGCAAATTGTTTACCACTAAACAGATCTCAGTTATAAAGGCATTGGGTAAGAACCTGATCACTATCGAGAGGATCACCATTCTCCTTGACTGAATAACCTTGAGCTTGAGCTGTTGCTAACGAATACAGCTGCAATCAAACAATACATTTTAGTGAACAATGCCTGGCAGGAAACCTACCAAACCACAACCAAAAACAACCTTTTCAGCACTCATGTATTCAGCATGTGCTAATGTTTTCCTAAGTTCCTCGACTCGTTTCCTTTCTTCTTCCAAAAGCCGTTCATATTCATTTCTAATTCCTTCAATTTTTTTCGCGGTCTCGCTCTCAGATCTTCTCAATTCTTCTAATGCTCTATCTTTGTCGAAAGCTTCCCGTTTTTCAGCAACCAACTGAAACATTCACGATGTAAATATGAAACAAAAAAAGAAGTTAACTAGTCAAGAAACAATACAATTGCATACATTTTCAAAAATACGTCTAAGAGCTGCTTTCGCAGATACCAAAGATCGAATATTGTTCCACCTCTGTTCACTGCGACTATCATCACCAGCCCTAGCACACTTCAGTTGAATGTCTTGCAGCTCGGTATTGCGAAGATCAATCTAAAAATATACAAAAAAAGACACCTTGAAGGTGGCAAAAAAAAGATATTTATGTAAAACAAAATCGTGCACAAAAAAAAGGAAAAAACCAGATCCCCAACGAAGAGCAAACAGCGTTACCTCCCTTTCAAGATCTGCAATCTCTTCCCTAAGTTGGTGCACTTCCAATTCGTCATCAATACTCGTACGGCCACTGCCGGTCCTCCTCTGAAAACCTCAACCGATAATGAAATAGGAAAGAACCTTCACCACTAAAACACACTACACTAATATTCAAAAAACCCAAGCTAGAGGTAAATTGGACCTTAGTAGGTGGCCTTTCAGAAAGTCTCTTCAATTTAGCAACTAATTTCCTGTGTTGGGCAGAAAGGTTCTTCCTCTGTTCGATCAGAACTTTGCAATGAACCTCAGCTTCGGCAGCAGAGAAAGCCAATTCTAACTCTTGATCCAAAAATGCCTAAAAATTAATACACAGTCAGTGAGGAATGAGAAACTACCACCTGCTCAATTTGTAAAAAAATATTAACTTAGTGCAGTATTAAATTTGTTTAAAAAAAATAAAAAAACATACATTTATCTGCTCTTCTGATTTTTCACCAATCTTCCTTTTAGCTGCAGCACATAGTTGTTGCTGCAGCCGCCGATTACAAGCACTTGCTTCCTCGTACTTTTGCCGATACACAGCCAACTGCTGCTTCGACATTGCCGCTTCGCGAGCCATAACAGCTTCTCGCTTCCTTTCCTGTAGAACAAAGTGAGTACATTACACAGTCATTCATTTCTTTAAATCCTTCAAAATTCCTGCCGCTACTTACTCTATTGCGCATCTGTATTAACTCCCTCTCAGCCTTTGCCTTCCAACTCCTGAACTTTGACTCCTCTTCTTTCATTTGTCTTGCCATTTTCACCCTCAATTTCTTTAGCTCCTGAAATAATTCAACAATAGTAGTGCAAAGCCTACTTTCAAAGTGATATAAATAACGAAAACAGCTACAAAAAAAATTAACCAAAAGTTCTGCAGCAAGCTTTTGAGCTCGCTCTTGAAGCGAGGCCTTTTCCCTTTCTAATTTCGTAATTTCTGCAAGCCGTTTCCTGTTGAGAGCGATCTCTTTTTCAAGTTCTTGCACCCTCTTCCGTCGCTGTTCACTTACCCTGAAATTCACATTACGAATGAGCCCAAAGCAGTTGATAAAACTCTACTGATCTGTAGCTTCACTGCTAACTTATTCTGATTAGTATTTCCTTTGAGCTTCACTAAAAGTTCGTTTCTTTCTTTTTGCATCTCTTCTAATTTTGCTTTCAGCTCCTCCACCTCGACAGCATGCTGCTCACGAATTTTCTGAATTTCCTGCTCGGTTGCCACTGTCGCTTCCACAGCTTTCTCCTAAACAGAATCTCAATACTAAATTTCGCAAAAAGAAAAAGAGGTGAAATTTATCCAAGTTGAGGTCGAAGAAAAAAATGACTCAAACACCATTATAAAAAATAACATTTACTGTGTAACGCCAAACAAAGTTCAGATTACATGTTGTTCAAATCCCAGAAGCAGCTTATTTGATGAAAACTGCATTCCCTCCTTCACAGAAAAAAAGCATAAATTTTTATTCAAAAAGAAACTATTTGAAAACCTACTGTATTTCTACATTCCAAAGTGAAAAATAACTTTTATCTGACTTCCTAACTAAGAATGTTTTACAAATGATAACTCCTGACACCTTATTTTTAATTTCGTCGATCAAGTTAGCCAGTTTACGCTGGTTTTCCGCATATCTTGCAGGGTAGGCTAAATCTGCTCCTCCTTCACCGGTATCATCATCTTCATTCTGAATAAACAAAGTCATAAAAATTAGAAGGAATAAAAGTTTGATGTCTTGAAAGAAAAGCACAGCAAAACGAAAAAACACTACAAGCCTTGAATGAAGTAAATTGTACCTTATCAACTAGAAGTTCTTCTTCCTCACCAGACACAAATTCCTCACGCGACACCTCAAGTATTTGTAAAACTTCTGCCATGTTCTTCGGTGTTTCACCATCTTCCTCCATCTTTTCTCTAAAACCAGTGGTTTTTAAAACAAAGTAAAAAAGACGTTATCTAATTAAAAGAAAACGAAGTAAGAAATAAATTATTTCTCTCTGTAAAAACCATCAAATCCCTTACAGCGGACAAACAAATGATCAGGACTAACGAAAAAAAAAAAAAACCTACTGTAGTATCCGCCTGACATTTTCAACTGCTTCTCTAAGTTTCTCTTTTTCTTCTTCAACTGCAGCAAGCTGTGCAATTGTATGCCCATTTTCCGCAATAGCATCAACAAGTTGTATTTGAGTGTGCCGGTTTTCTTCCAAAAGTTCCTCATACTTTCGCTGCAGTTCATTTAACTTGTTAATGTCATCAAACCTGCAAAGTACCAAAGAAATAGCACATGCCTGATTCAGCAGCATTAGGGTAAAAAACATCACACCTAAACGTAGCGGTGATTTCACTTTGCGCCTCATGCTCACCAGTTCTGTACAGCGCCAGTTCATGTTTAGCTGCTGCAAGTTGTTCCCTAAGCTCCTGTATGATAGCCAAATTTGGATCTGTGTTAACAACAGGTTTATTCCGTATTTTCTTAGCTCGATCTGCATATCGCAGAGTTGAAAGGGTTTCTTCTGCATTGCTGTCTGCGGGGGAAATACAAGCAATCATGACTGTGTAGCTGTTACCTCCAAGCGAATCTAAATGAAATAGCTATTTACTCCAGCATCCGCAAATATCATCATTTTCAGCTCAGAAATAATACCTCAAAATAACCTGCCTTGTAGCAACCTAGTTATTTTTGAGTCACGATACGGGATGTGACCGGAATTGGGTCCCTGTTCTACCAAAGCAGAAATCACATTGCCCAATGCTAGCAGGCCGGAATTGATCTTGATTCCTTCTTTCAGCCTTTCCCCTTCAGCTAAAGTCTTTTTCAGACGTTCAGACCCAGCCAAGTCCACAATAGCAAGCTTCGCTTTGAAACTTGTTTCACTACAAACTTGTTTTGCAAGTTAATTAGTTTCCATGACACAACCCCATGGGGATGAAAAAACGACAATTTATTTTTTAACACAAACTTATGTTCAGTAGGCACTTTGTCTATGAACACCGTAAATATAGCGTGAGATCTGGAGCTTTTCAAATTCATTGCGGTTTCACCCTTACTACGCATACGACCGCCTTTTTCTAGCTCCCGCATTGTCGAAATGAGATCGTAGACTGGCTCGCAAGTGAGGCCTTGCACCTAAAAAGTTTTATTAAAATCGAAAATTTACGACGCAGTAGAAATACTAGGCTAGAGAAATAATCGATTTCAAAACATACAAACGTTGAACCATCCTTCTCACGTATTTGTAATGGTTCTTTGCTGCCCGACAACAAGTCTAAAATCTTCTCTTCATAGACTTCCAACATGGAAAC